TCCTATTCCATATGAGGATTCTTCCAGAGATGATGAAGGTCCTAGTGAGGGAGTGACGTAGGAGCCATCGCTTTTGCACAGAGGGTGGACTAGAGGGGGGCCTAGAGCATGAGGTGGGCATAGAGTTAGGAGTTGTGAGCACCATGCACATGATCCTGTAAATGGTGGAGTGACTCTAGAGATTGCAAATCCTCTTGAGGGACAATGGCCCATGCAACAGAGGAGGCCACCACCATGCGAGACATAATCCATTTTTTGTTATTTTTCATCATGTTGTACGTAACAGAGTATTTATCATATTTAGTTTTATGTTAGTTAATATTACTCCATTGTCAAACAGAAATTCAATATTGTCTCCAACAAATTTAAACCCACTTCAACACAATTTATTTAATTCAAAAAANGCAGCCTAACTATAAGTGGAGACTACGTGCTTGTTTTAGAAAAAAGATCAGACCTCATACCTTATACTTGTTTTTACCTTCAGATGAGTCGTGACCTCATGCAGTTAGATTATAACTTCATATGTCATAGTATACTGGGTCTTGTTGGTAATAACCCAAAAATAGTTAGATACACTATTGGTTGGTGTGCCTTGTATTCCACCGACTACTGCACCAATGCCCCATAGGCCTACCTCTCCTATTCCATATGAGGATTCTTCCAGAGATGATGAAGGTCCTAGTGAGGGAGTGACGTAGGAGCCATCGCTTTTGCACAGAGGGTGGACTAGAGGGGGGCCTAGAGCATGAGGTGGGCATAGAGTTAGGAGTTGTGAGCACCATGCACATGATCCTGTAAATGGTGGAGTGACTCTAGAGATTGCAAATCCTCTTGAGGGACAATGGCCCATGCAACAGAGGAGGCCACCACCATGCGAGACATAATCCATTTTTTGTTATTTTTCATCATGTTGTACGTAACAGAGTATTTATCATATTTAGTTTTACGTTAGTTAATATTACTCCATTGTCAAACAGAAATTGAATATTGTCTCCAACAAATTTAAACCCACTTCAACACAATTTATTTAATTCAAAAAAACACCCTAACTTTGCAACAACACATTTAATAGAAACATAACAAGCCAACATAATGACAACACGAATAATGACAATATCGTCCAGATGTTAGAATTGATTTGGGTAACATAACACTTATTTATGGTTCATGGGTCTTTATCTTCGTCAAAAATCTCGACATCAGAAATACATCCAGCTTTTCCATTCAATATTCTAATCGATCTCATAAAAGGATTAGAATTCGAAGCGTGAAAATATTTATTAAAGCTTAGAAAGAAGATAAAAATAACGTCTTTTATACCACATAAAGGCATCAGTGGGACTGACGTAACTTAAAAACGTCAGTCCAAATGAGATCGTTAAATAAAAAACGTCAATTGGACTAACGTTTTTAAGTTGACGACATCAGTCCAACTAACGTTTGTTACTTTGGTGGGACAACTACAATGGTTAAAAATGTCAATATAATTGACGTTTTTAAAAATACATGGGTTTGAGAATTAGTTTCAAAGTCACCCGTTTTGGGTATAACTTTCCAAAATTGGTGGTTTTGGGTAAAAGCTCCTCAAAACCTCCTCTGTCAATCAATTCAAATAATCTTGAAATCAATCAAGAATGACCAAAATCAAAGGAGCTCATAACCTCCTTGAAGAATCACAAAATATTTTCACTATTTTTTATGGATTGCAATCATCTCCATTACACTTTCATTCAATTTTACTCAATGATAAATCAAGTACCATACTTTTAAGTGAGACTTACTATTTATACATAAACTCTCATTCGTATACCATTGATGATTAACTATTGAGTGAAATTGAATAAATGTATAATGGAGAATATCTGAATTCATTTCTCATAACCAACCAACCACTTTGTAATTAATTATTTACTCATTTTTACAACCACCCTTTTCATTCAACTGTCATTGATGATACTAGCAATAATATAAAAAATAAGAACAATAATATCTCAATTTCCCGCCTACAGCATGACTTAATAACGAGGTCATCCATGTACAACCATAGATAACTATAATCAGGCCGTCCATAGCATCACACAAGGGAAACTCAGAATGTCCAGCTCATGTCAGGCGTTTGGATCGAGCTCTTTTATTCACGAGCTGACTAAAAGAATAAGAGGTCATCCCAAGCAGTACGACCTCACATAGATATAGAAGACCACAACGTTTCCAAGCTCTATGATAGGCTACAATGCCACCTCAGCACATTCTAGAAGGCTATGTCATACTTAGGGAATGTTGTCTCTAATGACCAAATATTCCCTCAACAAAATTCAAATAAAGTGGGGGACCATATGACCATGTGATGACGACATGAGAACCACCCCACCTGTGGGTATAAATACAAAAGGCGAATTGCAATTCCCATAACTATAATCTATGTCTCCTTTNTAACATTCTAGAAGGCTATGTCATACTTAGGGAATGTTGTCTCTAATGACCAAATATTCCCTCAACAAAATTCTAATAAAGTGGGGGACCATATGACCATGTGATGACGACATGAGAACCACCCCACCTGAGGGTATAAATACAAAAGGCGAATTGCAATTCCCATAACTATAATCTATGTCTCCTTTCCCAATGCAATAGAAAATCTCTAAAGAGCAACAGACCTCATTAGAGTGGATTAGTCAAGCTTTTTAGTTGATGAACCATTATAATCAGCATCATCTTCTTTGTTTTCTAACTCTTACCTCTGTTATGTGTTTACTGTAGTATTTCATAGAGCCACCAAACTCAACCACATATCGATCATTCACTTACTGTTATTACACACGTCACTGTTTCTAAGCCTTAGACACTTCAGTGTAAGCACACACCTCACCTTTTGAGTTTCTTACATCGTCAGTCATGATCTTGCAATAGAACAAGAACAGCCAAAAGCGAAGCAGCTCAGGATATCTTAATTAAAAATCTCAAAATATTTCAGGTCATTTTTCGCAGACAACCAACCACTTTGTCTTGTTCATTCGCTGACAGAATTAAGAGAAATAAGCGATCCATATTGGAAGAGTAAACACCTTGTGTAAGAAAAAAAAAGAAGCAAAAGCACAGAGAGAAAAGCACAATGCGACAACCAAGAAAGTAAATGTTACCTGCTTTTTAATAATTTAAAAGCATCTGGCATTATAGCATACCTTGGTCCCTAGTTATCCATACTCCTTATTCTACTCCGTACAATCTCTGTGAAGTTAACGACCTTTAACTTCAATTACTTATTTTAAACAGATGATAATTTCATTCATTAGCCACAAATTCTATACCGCTTGCAAAATGATTTTTTCTAAATTTTTTAAAACAAAAAAGGGCAATTTTGTCCAAAAATAAAAGTAGCTAGATCAAGGAGAGAACGTAGTGTATGCTATTGTACATGTCATTGAACTTATAGGAATAAATAGGCCTAACAAAAAATAATAAATACAAAAACAAAGGTTACTTAAAATTATGTTGAAAAATAGCAAAAAATGAACAAGAAAAAATGCTTTAAAAAAATACCAAACGACAGAGAATGTACTCGTAAAATAATAAGCAATTCTATATAGACCTACTTTACTAATCTAATTTGCTAACATAAATGATAGTGGATCCTTGGAACTTGCTACTAATTTGATGGTTGTGATGAATTAGATCAATAAATTATATCAAAAAATTAGATTTAAATAGTATTAATATAAAATAATTCTTGATTGGGACGCTATTACTGACTGCGCAATGCTATTGGGGCACGACTCCTTTACTGTTCCTCGATAACAGCACATGGTGTTGTTTATCCCAACCGGTGCCGCATCAACACAACACAAAACCAGCCCCAACAAATATTAACAAGGGCATTGCTTAACCTAAGATACATGATTTGTATGGTATTATATTTCATCATCTAATTTTACATTTATATTAAATATAATTAATTTTAATTTTATTTATTTAATTATTCATATCAAATATATCAAACTAATATGTCTTACACATATTTGATACATGTAACTTGTGAATAAAAAATTTAACACTAATTTTTTTTTTATTTCTTAAGAAAAATTCAATGCTAACGTATCCTTATAAATTAAAAATTCATTTGATTTTTATGCAAGTAAAATCAATTGAATCGAGTGAAAAAATTTCTTAATTCCGTAATAATATATACTGATTAGAAAAATAATATTTTACAAATGATATTTTTCGTAGATTTTTTTTGATAGAAATTATTTTGGCGATATGATTTTTGGTAGATTAAATTTTTAGTTTGAATTAGATTTGAACCGACTTTGATTACATCGGATATAAATTAATGTTTTTTGACCAATTATTTGAATATGAATTTAAGTCAATTATATCCTATTTTATTATTTATATTTAAATATACTTATTCGTTAAGTCAATTAATTTCAGTTGAATTCGAATATAGATTATTCCAAAGAAAATCTTTCAAGTATTTAGATTAAATTTAATATTATATTTTTTTTATTGGATTCGATCTCGAATTAGAATTATAATATCAAATTTAATCTAAATATTTTGACAAATTTTCGTATCAAATATAAGCACAGCCCTTGTTAATATTTGCTGGTCTTGAATTTTGGGAGCCTACCAAAGGCCTTGTATTGATACGACACCGTTTGGGCTAACAGCACCGTGTGCTGTTATCAAAGAACAGCAGAGGGGCCATGGCCATGCTATAGAGACTTTATTTAGAAATTTAATGATGTGATTTTAATGTAACTATTAGATTAGTTGTAAAATATAATGTTAGATGAAACTCACAATCAATCTGATGATTGTACGTTATTAAGTCCCTGAATTAGATTTTCAAATTAAATCCAAATAGTATTTTCCTTACTAACCACCGCTTCTAGTTCTTATCCTTGTAACTAGAAGATAGAACCTAAACCAAAGTTACCGAACACATTCACCGCAGGAACATTCAAGACCGGACTAATTCTTACAGTACCATTCCCCTAAACACCGTAACCCTTCTTCAATGGAGACTTTTGGTAGCTAGTTGAGGAAGAAGACTGTTTCTGTTTCATCGAAGCAACTGATAAAATTTTCTTGGAATGCTGCTTATTATTCCAACTTTCCTTTGAGGTTGAAGATAGTCGCTTAACAGTTGGTGGTGAATCTGTTGAACTACTTCGAGATAACAGTGGTAAAGGACACAAAATCCTTGCATAGCCATTACCACAATTCAAGCTGCTACTACGCTTGATGCACCAAAATGACTTAGAATTTTGCTTGTCATCTGATCCAGAACTTGCCATTTTCATTCCATTCGACTTCTCACTCCTCAAACTCTTGACGCTGATATCGATAACATTATTAACATGTGCTGCTTGTGGTGGTTTTACTTGTCTCGGTGGAGCAATCTTTTTCGTGATTTCAAACGGAAGAATTTTACCATTGGAGAAAATCTCATCTGCTGAGGATGATTCTTGATCGAATCTCTCATCATAAATGCAGAAATCGAAATCAACACTACTCGACGATGAATGTGATCCATTTAGGTATTGGACTGGGGCAATGTCTGTTTGGGAGAGATCATGAGAAAATGAAATTCGAGGACTCGTAATCAAACCACAATTTTCTGAACAAAGTTCGATCGCCATTGCCTGGAATTTTCCAGGAAAACAGTAAAACTCATTCAAAACAAACAGTTGGGATTTGAAGTCTCACAACAGAAGCATCAAAAGAGAGCCTTAAAGTTTTACAAGATGTGTGGGAATTCAACTCCAATCAAACCATATTGCAGAGTACATGATCGCAATAGAATATATAAATGATCCCAGTGCATCCGGCGATGTTTCCACAGATATTTGCTTGTTTGTTTTTGTACCAATCTCCCCCTATCCAAAAGAGGTCAAAAAATGCAAACCCAAACAACCTAATGATACTTCATTGATACGATTCAACAGTATTATTTGATGACATACATTTAATTTCTTTATGTGGTCTATTTTGATTGGCGCATAGCTATAGTATCAAAGGTGATCATGTTTAAAGTTACCTTGCAATCGGGTCAAGTTTTTCCTTGAAAGAAACAACAATTACAAGTGCTCGGTTACCATTAAAAAGTTCTAGATCAATGTTAAAATACATTCCAAGATTAATCCCAAGCAACTCTATTGATTGACTCTTGATTTGTTCCAATTGTAAACTTACCTAGGTGAGTTGTAACTTAGATAAAATTAATAAAGCGCTCTTTTGGTAACAAGCATTTCCGGTAATGAAAAAATGACAGACTAGTGCATAAGACTGAATGTACTTCCCAAAATACGTCAGGGACAAATTAATACAACAACTTACAAATTACAAGTACCAAATACATACTAGACAACAAGAAAAATAAAGCGTGAGGTACCAAACAAGCACAAACACACACCCTGCCGCCAAATGAACCATGATTCAAGTTGAAAAAAAAGACAAAACGTTTCAATCCAGGAGCTACATATTAAAAGATTGCATATGGACTGATCTTTGTGGCACCTCTTATGAGCTGTCAATTGAAACCATGTCAAGAGTACATGTGAACCGGAGAAATCATGTTTCATTTTTTTTCTCAAATATCATGTTTCTCACATTGCACCTCTAACTATAGTTATTGTTCTCACATTGCGCCCTTAACTATCATATCTCCCACCTTTCATGAGTAATGGTTTCACATTGCCTTGATTTTAAACATTCCAAGTGTGTATTTTACCACGTATAGACATTTACTATCCACAACATAACAAACATTTAACTTTCAGGCAATGTGAAACTAGTTAAGGGGCGATGTGAGAAATTCAATAATTGAGGAACATTGCTATGACTTAGGTATCCATCTAGAGATGTCCATTTTTTTTTCTGAGTAATTCTATTTTTTCTGTTGGTTGTACCAAATTTTCAATCTTTAATCTCTTTTTCTGCAAAATTGGGCCATTGAATTCTAGTAGTTTAGAGGGAAAAACAAAAGTTGGTACAAATATGGAGATTTATTGGGCTAAAGGTCCATAAGCAAAAATATTTTGGGCAAAATTCCATTTTCGTGCAAAAAGACTAAAAGTCATTCAGATACACAAACAAAAACAAAAATCATGTTTTGGAAACCAAATATCAAATGTCGGAAGAAACGGTTGCAGTAAACACAAAGCTTCAAATCCTGGCGACAGACCCCATATTCAGGAGGCAATCTTCTATTTTCCTCATTTGTTTGAAATTCAAAACATTCTACCATTCAATTAATTTCTCCAAACCTACCGGAGTGGTTACTCGAAAAGAAAATAACGTATTTGATGGGTCAAGCTCAAATGTCCAACTCATATTATAAGTCCAGTTCAAGTTTATAGTTCGATTCCAAGAGATCCAGCAAATCCAACCTAGTGTGTGACCAACTCGGTCAAGCTCATCAGCTCAACCCGTTCAAGCTCATCAGTGTGGTCAATCCGGTCAAGCTCAGCAGCTCAAGGAACTAAGGGAGCAAGCAAGGTCATCCAAAACCCTATTCTCGCTACCCTGGAGATGGTCAACACTCCACCTCATCCTTTGATTGAATCTTATGGAGAGAACCGCAACTGCCTAGCATGTTGAGAAGATCTCGTCAGATCCAACAAAATAGTCAACTACTTACTAATATCTTGCTCAAATCTGTTAGGAGGGCGATTACAAATTGTAAGCCCCACCAACACTTGGGGGCAGATCATACTTTACCTAAGCACGACTCTCTCCTCTCCCTCAAAGCTTGTACTCTCTGCTCCTCACACCCTTGAGTTAATAAAATACCTAGCAACCAGATTCATTGAAGAGTGGACGTAGGTCGAGCTGACCGAACCACTATAAATTGTCTGTGTCTCTCCATCTCCTAATATTATTTTCTTGAATTTATTATTCACACTTGACAAGTGATGTGCAAAACTATTTTGTGTATCATCAAAATTTTTGGAGGAGAAACAAATGGCCAATCGCCAAAGATTTGGGGGTTTTCAGTCAACCATCTCCGAAAACCTTGACTCAATTCCTTCACTCCAGTTACATTGAGACATCATCGACAATCGAATGTAAGCATTCCGACTGTTTTTTTTTTTTTCTCTGTTCGCTATAAAAGCCCCAAAAATCATAAATATTGAAGCCCTAATTTTTATTTGAAACACTAAAAAATTTTCATCTTTTATGGTAAAACAACTATATATAACATTGTAATTTAAAACAAGCGAGTTTTCTTTATAATTTCCTTCAATCTTTAATATGTTGTCACAGTATTAGATCACTCTATTGAGTATCTAAAAATTTGATTTTTTTGTGAAATTACAAATCTTTGGGCCAAAATTATAAATTCATTATTTGACAACACCTTATTATAAAAAATGTAATTACTAATTATAAATTTGAATATTTTGTGATTATGATTGGATTCACTTTATGTGGTAATTCGTTATATTTTGTAACTCTATAATGTGGCCATGTTTTAACCACTTCTTACTATAACCCGAATTGAACTTGTGACCATACAGAAACACCATAAAGTGCCAACATAATTCATGTCTTGTTCAATTCATAATATATCAAAAATTTAGCTTGTGTCCAAGGAGATACTTGAGTTCATAGTGAGGCACCATAGATTGACTACTTAAGTTCATGGCATTTTCAATACAAAATTGAAAAAAAAAAATTAGCTTATGACGAAAGAGTGACAACCTAATGACATGGCCTGACCACCACATATTACCTCAAAGGAGAAGGCTACGGTACACCCAAGAAAAAGTTTGGTACGATACCGAAAATTCCAAATTACAATATTAATGGTATGTTTATTAAATTTATGGTATATTTATACTGGTTGGTAGACAAGACATACCGTCTAACAGCCATTAAGTCAATTGAGGGCAAAATTACAACATTAGTGGAAAGTTTACAACAAAATTACAACAATAGTGAAAATTTTATAACATTTGTGAGAATATTTATCAAATTTGTGAGAATATTTACAACTTCAGTAATATATTTATTAAATTTGTGAAAATTTTTACAACTTTAGTGGTATGTTTACCAAATTTGTAAAAATCTTTACAACTTCAATAGATTCATTACTAGTTCATAATCGATCAAATCTCCTTGGTACTTTTACTTCTAATTCACAATACAAATCAACAATAACATGATCGATCAAATATATGTTTGATCGATCGAATTTACTTACCTACAATTTGATTGATCAATATATTTTTCTGATCGATCAAATTCAATTACAACTGATTAATTTATCCAATTTTTTTTAAAAAAATGGAAAAAATTTAAAAAATTGGAATTAATTTTTTTTAAAATTTTTTTTAAAAATTTGGATAAATTATATTTTTTATAAAAAAATTAGATTTAAAAATTGAATTTTTTTTTTAAATTGGATTTAAAATTTTTTCAATATTTAAATTTTTTTTTGAAAAAATTAGATAAATCAGTCAGTTATAATTGAATTTGATTGATCAAAAAGATATATTGATCGATCAAATCGTTGGTAAGTATATTCGATCGATCAAACATATATTTGATCGATCATGTTATTGTTGATTTGTATTGTGAATTAGAAGTAAAAGTATTGGGGAAATTTGATCGATCAAAACCATATTTGATCGATCATGGACTAGTAATGAATCCATTGAAGTTGTAAAAAATTTTTACAAATTTGGTAAACATATCACTGAATTTGTAAATATTCTCACAAATTTGATAAATATTCCCACAAATTTGGTAATTAAAGTGAATCACTAGTCCATGATCGATCAGTATATATGATCGATCGATCAAAACACACATGTGTACTTAATGTATGAAAATTTTACAACTAATCTAAGATATACAACTTCAATGGATCATTTATCACTTTTATGAGAATATTTATAACTTCAATGGTATGTGTTGGAGAGATTTGATCGACAAAATCATATTTGATCGATCATGGACTAGTAATGAATCCATTGAAGTTGTAAATATTTTCACAAATTTGATAAACATACCACTAAATTTGTAAATATTCCTACAAATTTGGTAAATATTCCCACAAATTTGGTAATTAAAGTGAATCATTAGTCCATAATCGATCAGTATATATGATCGATCGATCAGAACACACATGTGTGCTTAATGTATGAAAATTTTACAACTAATCCAAGATATACAACTTCAATAGATCATTTACTACTTTTATGGAAATATTTACAACTTCAATGGTATGTGTTGGAGAGATTTGATCGATCAAAATCATATTTGATAGATCATGGACTAGTAATGAATCCATTGAAGTTGTAAAAATTTTCACAAATTTGATAAGCATACCACTAAATTTGTAAATATTTCCACAAATTTGGTAATTAAACTGAATCACTAGTCCATGATTGATTAGTATATATGATCGATCGATCATAACACACATGTGTGCTTAATGTATGAAAATTTTACATCTAATCCAAGATATACAACTTCAATGGATCAGTTACCACTTTTATGAGAATATTTACAACTTCAGTGGTATGTGTTGGGGAGATTTGATCGATCAAAACCATATTTGATCGATCATGGACTAGTAATGAATCCATTAAGTTGTAAAGATTTTCACAAATTTGGTAAACATACCACTGAAGTTGTAAATATTCCCACAATTTGATAAATATACCACTGAAATTTTAAATATTCCCACAAATTTAGTAAATATTCTCACAAATGTTGTAAAATTTTTACTAATATTATAATTTTGTTCACTATAGTCGTAAATTTCT